CCCCCCCCCCCCCCCCCCCTCATGTCACGCAAGTTGGTGAGCGCTTCAAAATGTATGTGAGGGGTAGGCCTAGTCTAGCGTAAAAGGAAGTTGCCTTGTTTTGGTTCCAAAGAGGTAAAAAGTTGTGAAAAAAATATATAGCCTAGATTAGATATGTAGCCCTATTAATAATAGATCTAGATGTAGATCCTGGCCTAGCCAAGCTTTTATGACAAGGTTGTGAAAGTAGGGGTAGATCTAGAAGTCTAGATCTAGGAAACAGGGACGTTTTTACAAATGAGATGTTTGGCAAGATCTAGATCTAGAATCTACATTAAATTGAATCATGGTAAGGTTTGATCGAAAAGGGCTTTGGTTTTGTTTGTTTGTTTGTTTATAATTTTTGCGGGGTTTTTTTTTTGGAAGGGGGGGGGGGGCACTTTTAATACACGTGGCGTTCAGAGTCAGAGGATAGGGTTAAGTAACAGAACGATCTTAGAATTTAAATTGGTTTACTTTACTTTTAATAATGTGTACAAACAAGGCCCTATTTTCAGCGTATATATAGATTTCTAGATCTAGATCTAGATCTAGATAATCTAGAAATCTAGAAAGAAGAGGAAGATTTTGCTTTGCTTATTTATATGGGTAAGCGTAACTCCTCTCAACCAAAGGCAATTTTTTGGCTAATAATTTTCTTTTTCATGGTACAGATTTACCTATTATTTAAGTTAGTAACTATAACAATTACAAAAACAGCAGTCCATAAGACGGAAACGTGAGTGCCCCAGTGTTTAAGACACGGTGATCTTTTCAAACAACACGTCTTGCTGACTCACGACTACCCTTGTTGCGTTGCCGTAGATTTATTCCTGGTACGGGCGCCTCGTGTTGGTCACCATCTCAGAGAAAAGAAAAAGAGAGAAATCACTTGAAGATCAATTCTTGTTTTCTAATAGCTTTAAATAAAACAAATCCACCCCTTGAACATGCCCCCCCCCCCAACCACTTCCCAAAGCCGCCAGTCTTTCTCAGGTGCTGTGCGCCGAAGAGGGGTTGAGGTGAGGTGAGGCAAGAGGGAAAGGGGGTGAGGGGGATTAGAGTATCTCCAGCTGATTTCTAATTATGTATTCCCAACAAATTAAATACACTTTCCGCTTAAAAATGTTAAAAGCATGACTACCCGCACCTGTGTATTATTAGATTACATTCACGCACTATCTCTTTTCTCCCATCAAGCTGACTAGATCTAGAAGTTGCCTGTACAATAAAAGGGACGCAAGCAATAATAGTGTGAAGAAACAACATACACTGCTATTGTTATTATGAATACGAGATAACATTTTCTGAGGGCTAACATTTCTCTTTAATCAATAGAAAA